GAACGACATATTTGAAAATCCAAAACAAAGGTATTTTCTTTCGTTGTTAGTTTTTTTGAGCACTGTTATTTAGTTCACGAAACCTCAATATAATTTTTAAGTCTATGTTATTTAAAAGTTTTCTAAGATATATTGTTATCTTTAAGTTAAATTCAATAGTTATTTTAACGTCTATAAAAGTTTATATATATTGACCTTTACCCTAGCAAAGTGTAAACAATAAAAAATAGTAAATGAAAGAGTAAAATAGGCTGAAACCTCTCTTTTACAAGAGATAAGTTAAATAAATTGTTTTTGCAAATCTGCTGATGAATATTTCTGACAAAATACAGATCAAGTTATATACAGTGTTATATATGTAAAAAATGTACCAATAAAATTTAATTTTGCATTGGTTGAATAATGTAGCTATATTTTATGAAATTCCTTTAAAATTAATAATAAGAAATTGAACCTGTTTGCAGCTTGGCTGTCCCATTTAACCCCGCCCATGGGTAAAAGAACTAAGTGACATTTTTTTAAAAAAATATCAAATAAACACATTTCTACAATGATGAATTAACTGAAATTTTTACTTAGTCGAGTTAGATTAGTTACTTAGATTAGTTAGATAGTTGTTTGTTTGATATGTGGTATGTGTTTCGAAATAATTCGATTGGTTTTCACAATATAATTGCTCAAAGTCAAATTAGAGCTCTATGTATCGCTCTACCCTATTGTTTACCTAACAAATAGTTGTAAACAAATTACCTATATTTTCTCGTGACAAAGTAAATGGTAAATAAATATAAGGTATATTTATTTACCATTTTTCCAATTTCTGAAATTCCTTTCGACTCCTGTACTAGGTCTTATTTGTCAATCTATTAATGAATTTCCAGATGTAAATCGTTAATGAATTTCGCGCGGTGTCGAGATGAATGAATGTTCCCTAATTACACTGAATTCATTAAAGCAAATCGCAATAGGTGCGAGAAATGTGACGAATGATTATTTCACGCCAGAAAGTTCATTGAAACCATTCTATATTCATGGAAGTTGTCAACGCCTATTTATAACGGTCTTGATTACGTATACTGACAGATAGGAATTGTAATATTTTTCATCTTATTAATGGACCCCCTTGTCCTAATGGTTAAAGCTACGGACTTCGATTCAGAGGTTCCAGGCTTAGTACCAGCTCCAGACAGTCTAATGTCAAGTAGGAGTAACATCGGTTTCTACTAAAAATATATATATATGAAAATTTTGTCCAAAGTGTAAATAGACCTCACTGGACATTGATGCATCAATAAAAAAAACCGTCAGTAATACAGAAATTGTTATAATAAATTCATTATGGGATGGCTCATCGTTTCTGAACAACAGCTCATAAGACTTGTTAAGTACAGATTGCTCTTAAATATATAATAAGAAAAAATCTAATTAGTTTATTACGTTTATGTTTGTACTAACATCTCTATAATCTATTATAATCTTTTACCTTTCTATTTCGGTGTGTATCCCATTGACATTTTAACGAACTGACAATGAGATCGGATAATTCCTTCTGAAGATAAGCTTTGAGAATAAGGGCTAGACTGCGACTGGTCGACCTTTAGGGAGTAAAACCTTATTTATCTTAGCTTGTGATGGATTAAAACAATGCTCACAATTAAGGGTTTGGTTTTCAGAGCTAGAATTCTCTTGAACACGACACGAAAGTCTTAGGCTTGAACCGTGTCTAGGTATTAAAATTGATTGCAGTATGTAAAGCATGTAGGAGTTGATGAATTACAGAATTGAATTAGATTGATGTTATTTTTTATAAAAGGTATTGAATATGTTATAATTATTAATTACTCAAAAACACTTAATTTATAAAAAT